CTCTCTGGAGATTTCACATATGACTAATTACAGTTTGGAAGCATATATGCTTTTAATTAAGCGCTATCTTTTAACAGACAGTAAATAGTAAGGACCACAGTGATGAGTACCCTTAGGATATCAGGCTGTGAATTGGACTCTAGAAGTTGATCTGATAAGCGAGGAGGGAGTACTTCCTCCATGCTTTACTTGGAGAATGTAATCTGGTGTCAGGTGTTGAAAGGACTGGAGGGTATTCCTGCAGTCACAGGCATCCCTAGCAATTTTTCCTGTGGTGGATCATGAAGATTTGGCATGATAATGTCCTATCCAGTAGCAATTTTGACATTTTGCAGTGGGAAATCAAACCAGCCGGATACTGTGCCAGATTTGTGGCTAAATTGTTATTTCATGTGATAACTGCTATTGCTTCCTATTTGTCATTGCACTGGGCTTGTACATGCATCACTCTGACAGGTGTTCTTTACGGCAGTGTTTCTGGAACTAGGTCAAGGAGGTTGATGGGTAATTTGTGCTTGGGAGACCAGAAAGCATGGTAATGGGAGAGGAGGTGATTTTGAGTGGTTCTGTCCAACAGTTCATTGATCTGCTGGTGTAGATTACGATACGGCATTTTTACAGGCACAAAGCTTCCAGTCCTGCATACACTGGTTCTTTGTGAAATGAAAAAAATCCCAAAAGAACTGTTCACTGATTCATAGCTTGAATGTTGTGGGGTTTTTTTTTAATTTCTTTCTAAATAAAATGAAATACATAATAAAGAAGGTTGTGGGGTTTTTAATCTCTAGGTGGAGTGCAAGGATTTCTTCTAAAGTCATCAAGATATACTGAAAAAAAACCTCTTGCTTCACTACTATAATTTTAAGCATTCATTATGGCTACAATAAAAATAGAGATATCACAGAGTACATGGAAATTGAGTTAATGACCCTTAATGTGAAACCACATTGCAAAGTTGGTCAGGATGTGTGGGTGATTTGCATATAAGTGACAGTCAATAAGAAGATAATTGTTCACTAGTAATTTTGGACTTACATTAGTATTATTCACACATTTTAAGTTTTAAGTGTGCAGTTGATTAAGTAGGATCAGTCTGCAAAGCCCTTCTGTTTAAAAGGATCAAGTTTGAAGAATTAAGTCTTTCATCAAATGATTAGTTGGATCATTTGTAATGGCAACAAAGTTGATTGACATTTGCAGTTCCAAGCAGTGAAAGGTATGAGAGGTTTAAAAGCTGATAAATACTCTTCAGACATAGCCTTCCTATAAGACTGGCGAGTGGCCAGATATGCTGGCTTTGTTTCCGTAATACCTACCTTTACCTTAATCCCAATGAAGCCTTGTGTAAATATACATGGCTCTCCTCAAACTTCAGTAATTGAGCTTTAGCCCTTACGGAGGACAATAAGGGCATCCTGCAATTTAATGATATGGACCTAAAAGAAGCAATCATTTACATCCTGTGCAGAAGCATCAGCTGATTGTGCTTGTCTGTGGGAAAGTCAATGAAACAGAAATTCACTGGCCTGCCACTTCTCACAGGGCTGGGCATTAACGCAGGCAGTGAGTTTTACTGCTTGCAAAAAAACCTCCTTTCCTTTCCTATTTCCTTTTCCCTTTTCAGATCATAGTTTAGGCTGTGAACTGAAAATGTTACAGGTCAGAAGATGGTTTTACCATGTGGACTGGTATCTTGTACTGAGTGTGATTAAAATTCAGAATGATTCTTGAAGATAAAAGTAGCAAATACTAACTTTTTGGTGTCCACAGCTGGTGCTTTTTTTTTTTTTTTATTGGCTCTAACTGACTTGAAGTGATTTACCAAGCAAGTTAGGCAAACAGCCTTGAAATGTTGCTAATGAATTTCTGAGTACATGAAGAATATCATCAAAACTGCACTACTACTACTATAAAGAAACATTCCATGTAGACTTTGTTTTGTCTTTCGTGCTGCATTTTTGCTCCTGGGGAAACTCTTAGACAGAAGAAAAGCACAGAATCCTCAGAGAGGCTCACAGCATGTAGGAACAGATTGCTTAGCGGAGCAGAACCAGTATTTGTTCACTTGTTGTCATGTGTCATCCTTCTTTTGGGAGCCTCAGAGTTCAGGTGTGCTCCCCAGCTCCATTGCAACATGCCAAAAGGTGGCAGGGTGTTTGCTGAAAATGCTTTTTCCTCTTTGGAGCCCTTTGATACATGTTTCCCAAATGACCTTTGCAAGTCTTCTGAAAGCATGTGTTGTTTTAAGCGGTATGTGAGGTTTTAAAATCTAAAGCCTAGAAACCTTTTAGGCAGTCCTTTAGCCAGCTTTTAAGGGTACCCTTCTCTGTAAGAAGTGAGTGCCTTGTTGCACTGCTAGAATAATTCATGCTCACCTCTATCACGTGACAAGTTTTAAGGTTGAAAGTATAGATTTATGTAAAACAAGGGTCTACAGTAATGAAACAACTTTAGAGAAGATAAAATGCATTAACGGGCTAGACTTAAAGACTCTTTGCGGCTGCTTTCACATCTCGGAGTTTATTTGCACTCATCTTACTGCAGGTTAAACTTAAATCTCCTCTGAGATTTCTAGTGTTCAAAGTAGCTGCTGCTTTGACAGAAAATCAGAGAATGGTTTATGGAGCAAAAGTAATGAGCCCTCTTTTAAGCTGCCTGACCTGGCATGCACCAGTCTCTCTTACTTCCCAACTACAAAAGCTTCCTCCCTCTTTCCTCCAGATCAGACTTGGGAAGGAGTCATGTCCTTCCATCTTCTAGGAGGTCTTTGATTCCCATATCCATTGCAAGGTTTGCTTAACATATCCAGATTCTAGGAAGGTGGGTTTGGTTTGTTTGGTTTTTTTTTTAATCTTCTTACTGACAAGTTTTCAGAAATACATTGATAGAACTGTTGTACCGAATCCCTCTCAGTAGCATACAAAGAAGAGATTGCAAATGTTGGAATTTTTATTTTGAGACATATCCTTTCTTTCCTCTACATGTTTTAAAAATATCAGATACCGAGAAAGGCCTCTTGCATACCATGCTAATGAGGCTGTCATAAGCATAGAAGTACAAATGTAGATGGTTTGAGTGGTCACTAAAACTGAATCTCATTTTGTTTTGGTTAAAAATCTTTTTTTCTTTTAAGAACTAATAAAAGTAACTTGATAATTATCTCATCCTGTGTCTTGGGAAAAGCGAAACCAATTCATAACTTGATTGGGGGTTTTTGTGGGGTTTGGTTTGTGTGGGGTTTTTTTGTTTGTTTGGTTTGGTTTTCTTTGCTTAATGAAACCTTAAATTTTTTTATGAAAGAGAAATATGAAACTTATAAATGCTAAGAATATCCTGGTCTACCAATTTATGCTGTTTAAACACTTGGAATTAAACTTTTGTTACTGAAAGTACTGCAATAAGCTATCTGTGACAGAAGTAGCCTATCCTTTTAAATGTAAAGGAGAACCAAAACAAATTACCCAGGATAAGTATATATTTCACCTGATGAGACCTTGGTTTTATTAAGCGTGTCTGAAAGTACAGAGAGTATTAAGCACGTGTAAATGAACCACAGGTACTGAGTGTACGTTAGACACTTAACTGCCTTGAAAAGGTAACACAAAATAGTTTACATTCTTGTACACAGGCAACGTGCTACTTTAATAATCTGTTAATTTCCAGAACTGTACTTACAACAAAATGTATATGACAGAAGCCTGTGTCATCTCAATGATAGATATCTTGCTGCCAGAAGAACTAGGCAGTCGCATCCTTCCCCAGATACCCAAAGGGAAGTTTGGAAGGGGTTTATGAGATGAGCTAGTTCTATTACTTTTAAAATATATTATTCAAATTGGAATGCAATTTTTGATATTCAAGTTTTTAAAATTTACATTGTTCTAGTGGTAGCGTGGCCTTGAAAGTATTTTATACTTTGTCATATAAACTGCGTCAGTAGATAGGTCGTTAAATAAAGCTTTATAAAGTATGGTCTAGCAGAAGATAATACAGGTGCAAAACTGACTGCCACTGTTACCTAGTCTGTTTTTCACCGTCAAAATAAGACATAGAATAACGGCATCTGGCTCATGCCCCTGCTGTTCATTGTGTTTCATAATTAATGATGTGTACAACAGAATAAACCAATATGAAATATAGTATCTCATACATATGTGCTATTTCTCCCAGAAATCTGTTTTGCCAGCATTGGTGAGGGTACACCAGCCTAGACACCCTTGACATGGACTTAGGTTGGACCCAGCTCAGCTGTTCCTATATGCCAAATGTGTGAAGTGCACAGCACCGCACTTCAACAGAATCAGTCATGAAAGACAGATAGTTGGGGAACAGTTGGACAAATAGTATCTCACAGATAGAGAGATCATTTTGTTTCGTAAAACATGAGTCTCAAATTTCTCTGTACTGCAGAAAGTCATATTTTGTGACTGGACCTATAACAGGCCTGCGAGGTTTAGCATTTCTGAACCAGATTATACAGCCTTACCGATCTTTCAAGAAAGGTGTCTAACAATTGGAGAGAATCCAGGGGAAAGTAGGAGTCATTAAATGCCAAGAAAATATGATCTATACTATAAAATTGATGTAATTTGGCAATTAAAATGAAGAAGCCTGAAAAGGAGAAGCAACAGATTGAGACACCTTAGTAATTACTCTATAGCCATGGCCTACTCTTTACAATTCCCTATGAACCAGTATCCTCATATGTTATGGCCATTGCTTTATTATCTCACCTTGATCTCTGAGGCTGGTTGTTAGTTTTGTCCATGGGAGGTGTCTTTACATTTATGTAATTTATGTGCATTTATGTATTTACATTTATGTACATTTATGTCTTTATATGTGTCTATGAAGTGACAGTGCAGCAAAATCATGAATAATTTATATGTATTTTCACTTGAGATATTATAATCAAATAAAACTTTCAGGACTGTTATAATGAGAAGTAATCAAATCTTTAATTTTCAATATTAATATAAACTTCTGTATTTAATCACCAGGAGTTCAAGATTCATGGTTAACCTACTAGCAGAATCACTGTTCCTCAAAAGAAGAGCTTCAGAAATCATCACGAAGGAATCAAAGGGCATACTCTGAATAAGGTAAGTGGAATGAATGAATCTCTCAAACTTTGGTGATCAGAAACCATTTTATTATATCTAAGAGATATAGTATAATGCATGTCAGAACAGAACATAAATTCCTTTGATATAAAATTATACTGTTTAATGAAAACAAGCTACAGATGGATGGAAACTTCTACTGAATACTCTGTCAACCCTTGCCATTCTGAGAAGAGTTGGCAACAATAAATATGGAGGAAAAGTGATGATCTTTCTACTCAATTTTACACATCATTTACTGTACTCATACTGATTTCCTTTTAAAAAATGGACGTTTTCCAATGTCACATGCAGTGTTTTGGAGAAAAAGCTAGTCTGTAAGTTGTTGGAGCTGTTCAAAGTGAGCAGTTTGGCCAATACTGGGCCCACTAAATCAGTAGGCTGTCTTCCCTGATACAGTTACATACTTTCTTAATGAGAATTTATATAATTTAGTTTCAACAATACTACTTATCATAGGTCACATATGGAAACTGTCTGTTTCATAAAGCAACTCAGTAGATTTAATTTTATTTGTTACATAAAGAAAGATTTACTAGTGAGAGAGCTTGTCCTCAGCATGGCTTATTTTGTGCTGGAAAAAATGAACCGTTAAGGCAAAATAACTGTGCTACACTGAAATGCCAGGTAGTTTTTGAATACATAAAGTACAGTTTTTGTGTGTCCCTTAAATCTCATTTTAATAAGCAAAATCTTGAGGTGTTGTCATGCCCTGTTACAGCTGCTACTATGGTAGCTATCTGTGAGTTCTCGGAGTGCTTGAGGTATACTCCTAAGTTTAATTCTTTGAATTTATAGTATTGCTGATTGAATATTATTATGTGGGAAGGAAAGACAAAAGTCTAACTTTACCATGTCTGCATTTTTTTCAAAGCCATCAAAATTGCATATGCAACAAGTATATTCTGTTTTTCACATAGACTGGGTAGGGTAAGGTCTCAAAACCAATGTTACAAAGCATTTAAATACATTTAGTTACTTCTAAACCCATTCATTTTTTTAAATATTTCAATATTTAATATTTCAATATTGGAAATATCTCAATTTTAAACTGTTTTTATTTCTTAAGGCCAAAATGTCAGAGGAAAAAAAAACCTGTTTTCGGGAAGTCCATTTTAATCTGGATACCTGCTGATCACATTTATTATGTGCTTGAGCATGGTTTTTTTTTATAGAACTGCTTGAAGCTTTTATGAAATGTTGATGTTTGTACTTCAGCTCGCTCAATTTAATTTTATTCTCTCAACAGTTCCAGTAATGTCAACTTTATATGCATGTCAGTGCATCCTTTATGAAATTGTTGAGCAGTCTTGTGATTCTGAACTTGAGATAAATCCTCTGCCATGTGTGTCTTTGCGTAGAGACATGTGGGTCAATAATTAATGAAAACAAAATAAAACTACTACTGACAGGTGGGCTTTGAAAAGCAATCTTTGTGATAAATATAAACTTCAGTAGCTATCTCACCATTGATTCATAGAGTCTTTGTTAGCATCAAAAAATATTTGCTTGAGGCCCTAGAGAATTTTTTACACCTTGGCTTTGTCAGGTTGGAAAATATATTTACATACAACGTTTATTTGAAGCTTGAGAAAGCTGAGAAAGATAAAACATTCCGTTGGATTTAGTTTACTTTCTGTTTTTTTATTTGATTTTCATTTCTTTAGTACCCTGTTGGGGAGCAGGGGGTGGAAAGTTAAGGGTTTCTTTTATAGTTACTTATTTCTGCGCAATGTTCTCCTTTTAAAATGACAGTGCAACTATGATTTAGCCTTACAAAAAATTCTTTAGAGGAAAAAAAAAGAAAGAGTTCTGAACTGCCTTACCATTTAATGACCAGAGTCATTAATGTTAGATGTTAATTTGTTAATGTTAGTCATTAATAATAGATGTAAATCTATCAAAATGTAGAATTGAAATGGCTACAATAAACTTTGGATATTTTAAAAGCAGAGCTGACTTTAGGTCCTCTCATTCTCTCAGCTGTCCGGATCATCTAATAACCAATGTATCTGCTACAGATACAGATCTACTCTGGAGGTTCTATCTTATCCGTTGTAACATTCAGTTATTTTACCACTCAGCATTTATTAAATTTTCTCAATTCTCTGTTTTTTTTCTCTTCTTTCTCTTGTATGATTTTGCAAGTACCTTTGGCAGCTGAAAAACATAATTTTCCTTGCTTCCAAAATTTTAAGTTTGTTGTATTTTATTTTTTTTCATTTGTTCACCTGAGTATTTGCAAAATAATGAATGAATGACAGATTTTAATTCACAGATTACATTTATACATCATATTTACAGCAGAAAGCTCTTGGGTAGAAAATATTGCGTGTTACCCATGTGGCTTTGCTCCTCAATCTGTATGCATAATGCCTGTCAGTATCAAGATTTTTGGTTCATTTATATTCCTGAGAAATGAATGGGGTAACTGACTCATAGTTTTGCCTTTCATAGTAATTTCTACACTGACATTTAAAGCAGCTTATTCTGTTTTGTTAAAGTAGGATTCTCAATGTGCAGTTCAGCAGAGGACAGAAACAGATTTCAAAGCATGGTCATTTCTGTGACTTTACAAAAATCTACCATGAACTAGGAAAGCATTAGGCAAGCACTCAGATTTTGACTGCATTGTAATTTATTCCAATAGAAGTTCTGCATTAGCATCAGTGAGCTACGGCTAAGTGCTAAGGTCAGTTGTGCATTTTATACTTCAGCTGCAGAGGAAGAATTTTATTGCTTTTCATAGTCATGGTGCAGTGAAAAAGGTGCTTTATGATGCCACAGACAATTAATTGAGGTGCATTACCTAGAAACTAAAAAGGTCACACGTGCAAAATAATTGACACCTCATAACCCCTATTAATGATTACAGAAATGCAAATTAGTACTTTTCAGTTTCCAATGAGTAGCATAACTCTTCTCCAGCTTTGAATTATGTTTCCATTTGCTTACAATCTTTACTCTTTAAAATGTTTAATTTACCTTTTTTATAAAAAATAACCTAAGTCTACATTAAAAACTTATGCATTATATAAATTATACTATTCATAAAAAAGTCTATTAAGCTGCAATTATATTTCTATGTAATAGACATAGAGTAAGAGAGAACTGATACAAATATAGGAGTAACACACTTAATGGTTCAGTAACCTGCCTTTAAGGCTACATCTGTTAATATTTTTTCTGACCTGTGGGATTTCAGAACAATGTTTGCCCTTCCTTATGAAGACAGACTTGAAAATCTAACAGCATTTCAGGTACTGAATTATAAATTATAGGTTTATTTAAAAGCTGAGATGGCTTTATTGTTGTTGTCTACAAAAAGAGCAATCCTAACACAGAAGGATGGGGGACATTAACTAAGAGTTAGCTACTAAACTTGCTTCAATCTTTCTGTCCAGTTATGGGTAGCCACTTATTAGTACATCAGAGATCAGATCCTATTGATTTCACTATAACTAATACTACAGCTTATTGGTACTTTCTGGTGCTTGTACTAAGACTTCAGAATCACAGCATGACATGATATTTCATTGCCGAACTCTTGAGAGTTCCTCTCCTTGTAGGCTGTACATTTTTAACACCAACCAAGACCAAAGAAACATTTGGGGGAGTGTGAAAATTCTTTCAAGTAGGAATTTTTTGTCTTTTTTTTTTTAATTTTCTTTAATACCTTGATGTAGTTCCACCTGAAAATTGGATCATTGGCTGTTTTTCTGAAGTAAGGAATCTGAAGGAGTAAGATTAGAGCACTTTGCTTTTGCACTTGAGCCAAGAGCTATGCTTCCAGGGAATTATGTTGGTCTTTAAAGTCCAGAACATTTCCTATACCTTTCAAGTATGCACAGAGACAGTAAGTTTTGTACCAAGGAGGAACAAAAAAAAAAAAGCAAGTTTTGTTCTGAAAATAAAATAGTGCAATAATGGAAATTCATTGAAATTGAACTTCACATCATAGACTCTCAAAGGAGACCTAACTTTGAAATTAGGTCAGATTGCTCATGGACATGGCCATACAACAGAGAATTTTTTTCATACAGGCTTCAGAGAGAATGGGTGAGCACTGGAGCCGGTTGCCTACAGTGGCTGTGTCATCTCCATCCTTGCAGGTATTTAAAACCTGACTGGACACAGCAACCTGCTCTAGGTGACCCTGGTTTGAGGCAGCAAACTCTAAAGGTCTCTTTCGACTTCAGGGATTCTGTCGTTTCCACCCCACCCCCACTGTTCCTGGACAGCCTGCATTAAGACACAAATATCACCTTTCTTAATGTTTGTTTCATTGATGAGTCAAACTTGTATCTGCCACTGCTTGTGCCAGCTAACAAATTAAGGTTTCAGTGTCTTTGTCTTTCATAAAGAGTGCAGGTTTGGCTCCTTTTCTCCTGCATTCCCACTGATGTCATTAGGTTGCAGCAGACCTAAATGTAGTCCCCAGGCACCTTCCTTATGAGCCTGTGGGCACTGCAGACATAGTAAAAGAAATGTAAAGACCAGTGTGGCCTTTCTTGAACTTTCTTAATTTTTCCCAAGAGCCCCAGAGAACTGATCAGCCACATCCAGCTCTCCATCCTGATCTGTGCTATCAGTAATTAAAGGCTATGGAGTCCAGACTCCCCAGCTTTATTCACAGAATTTAAAAAAGACAAGTGGGTTTCAAGTACTGCTTGTATCTGTGTATTGAAGGGCACTTTACTCTTTCAGAGCACTGGTTTGCTGGTCTCGCATGTGGTAGGTAAACTTTTTTCTGCAAAGAGGATCATTGCACCAAGTTTTTAGGTGTTGTGAACCGATATAGCTGAATACAGCCTGAATAAGCAATAGTGCTGGGAAACTTCGTAATTGTGGCTGTAAAGATAATCTTTAGCAGTTTCTGACCTTTTCAAATTTTTACCTTGCTGAAGCATTTTAAAATGAAACCATTGATTTATTTGCTTTTCCCAGATGACTGGTATGTTGATTTATAAAGTCATTTGATGGCAGAATTTTTTCTGAGGATGTCTAAAATACAGGGCTGCGCTAGAAACTATTTATTGTTTAGAGCCTTAAAAATTGTGGTAAAATTAACACTTTAAAGCAGGTAGCCATCTTATAATAGAGTTTTAATCTTTCCTTTGTAGCTATCTATGTTACAATGCAGTGTGAATGTTGAAGATGAGTGATGCAGAACCCTAACCTCAATGACTGGTAAATAGTGCAGAACTGGTGTTCCATGGCTCATTTCCTATTTGATTCATTGTGTTGTTTTTTTCCCTTTATTTAAAAGTCAAGAAAAAATCTCCTTTCATCCCTTCCTTCTGTTTAAGACCATAAATACTGTTTGCTTGTACTGTACAATGTTAAGAGCATGGTGGTGATGAATACAACTAAGGAGTTTCCCTAAAAGAAATGGAAGTTTTTGAAGACCTAAAGTGCCTACTTTCTTGTGGCACTAAACTTTATTCTTTTCCTTTTTTCAAAACAAAAGCCTACTGATGTCCAGTGGCCATTCCAGCTCTTAACAGGTATAAAAATAAAGAGTAGGCTTAGAATCATAGCCTGGTGTGATAGTAATACTTTTCCTAATAAAAGGTAACTGAAACGTAATTTTGTTTAATAAACATGACAGAGATTTCATGATGTTTTGAATTGAGTCAGTTATATCATCATCATCCAGTTACTGGAAGTCAGTCCAAATAAATATGCAGTAGAAAGCGCCACTTTTTCTTTAAAATGTTACATGTTTCAGTATCCTAATTAGCATTTAAAGTTTTAATATGAGTTATCTTCCCAACCAAGTCCCTTTTCTCATTAGCATTTTGAGTACATGGGCACCCCTTCCCTCCTCCAAATAGAAGTCCACTGTAAAATTCCTGTATGGAGACAGTACTGTCCTTTTGTAAGAGCTGTATGCATCTCTTTTTTTCAAGAAATATAATTTCCTGCTGTTAAATCCGTTACTATTGAGACACATAACAAGCTTTTAAACTTTAAAAAAAATAGAAAAGTAATGGCTATGCAGTAAGGGATATGGTGTATTTTTGTTTCTTTAAAATGCTGCTTCTGTCGTACTTCAAATCTACATAATGCAGACCTCATTTCTCTTGTGTTTGAATGCAGTCTTTTCCTCCCTCTTCCTTAATGCTATCAGCCATACAGTCTGCTGTTTGTGGTATTCTTTTCAAGTGGAAATTAAATTACTGATACCATAATTCAATACCATATTTAAAAATTGATTTGCTTTGTAAAAATAGCTTGGTGTGCCATTACAGATATACTGGCTAGACTGCGTGACTTTCTGAGATATCGCCTGCGGGAGGCTAAAAATAAAACTTGTCTGCACTGAATTACAAGATTGCTGTGCATGCCGTTAGACAGAGGTGAAATGCCAGGAGTTTCAAGTTGTAAGGAGTTGTAAAGATATAACGTTTATTGCAATACAAACTTTTCCTAAGACTGAAATGCAAGCAAATCCCAAAGTCAGTCATTCAGAAAGGTTACAGAGCGTATTTAATGTTCTCTTGCTTTTACTGAATGGTTTCAGTCACAGGGTTCAGTATCTCAGCTTGAATGATTTATTATTCTAGTATTGATTGACAAAATATTAGAATTCCAAAGGCATGCCATAGAGTCATAGAATAGTTAGGGTTGGAAAGGACCTTAAGATCATCTAGTTCCAACCCCCTGCCACGGGCAGGAGCACCTCACCCTAAACCATCTCACCCAAGGCTCTGTCCAGCCTGGCCTTCAACATTGCCAGGGATGGAGCATTCACAACTTCCTTGGGCAGCCTATTCTAGTGCCTCACCACCCTCACAGGAAAGAATTTCCTCCTTATATCCAATCTAAACTTCCCCTGTTTAAGTTTTAACCCATTACCCCTTGTCCTGTCGCTACAGTCCCTAATGAAGAGTCCCTCCCCAGCATCCCTATAGGCCCCCTTCAGATACTGGAAGGCTGCTATGAGGTCTCCACGCAGCCTTCTCTTCTCCAGGCTGAACAGCCCCAACTTCCTCAGCCTGTCTTCATACGGGAGGTGCTCCAGTCCCCTGATCATCCTCGTGGCCCTTCTCTGGACTTGTTCCAACAGTTCCATGTCCTTTTTATGTTGAGGACACCAAAAGTGCTCACAATACTTCAGGTGAGGTCTCACAGGAGCAGAGTAGAGGGGCAGGATCACCTCCTTGGACCTGCTGGTCACTCTCCTTTTGATGCAGCCCAGGATACGGTTGGCTTTCTGGGCTGCAAGCGCACACTGACGCCAGCTCGTGTTCATTTTCTCATCATCCAACACCCCCAAGTCCTTCTCCACAGGGCTTCTCTGAATCTCTTCTCTGCCCAACCCGTAGCTGTGCCTGGGATTGCTCCGACCCAGGTGTAGGACCTTGCACTTGGCATGGTTAAACTTCATGAGGTTGGCATCAGCCCACCTCACAAGCATGTCGAGGTCCCTCTGGATGGCATTCCTTCCCTCCAGGGTATCAACCGAACCACACAGCTTGGTGTCATCAGCAAACTTGCTGAGGGCCACTCAATCCCACTGTCCCTGTCAGTGACAGAGATTTTGAACAAGACCGCTCCCAACACCGATCCCTGAGGGACACCACTCGTTACTGGTCTCCAGCCGGACATTGAGCCACTGACCACAACTCTTTGTGTGCGGCCATCCAGCCAGTTCTTTATCCACTGAGTGGTCCATCCATCAAATTGATGTCTCTCCAATTTAGAGACAAGGATGTCGTATGGGACAGTGTCGAACGCTTTACACAAGTCGAGGTAGATGACATCAACTGCTCTACCCCTGTCCATCACTTCCGTAGGCCCATCACAGAAGGCCACCAG